ACCCTGTTTAAAGGTCACACAGTACCTATCCTCTGTTGCTTAGCTTACCATAGCTGACTGCAAAGAATGACCACCTTGTATAGTAATCATTGCAGTAACTCTGTAGGGAAACATTTCAGGATACGCTAGAGACTTAAAATGGAGACTTTCTAGTAGGCTTTGTTCATCTCTTTTAGTTTTCTGGAGGCTCATGATTTAGCAGCAACATATGGCTCCATGAACACAACTCCACTTGCCCATCCAATCTTGTTAACGTTTTTACTGAAGAATCCAGACAAGTTAATTTTCTATATGTATGTGGTTTATGAATTATATTCCCACTGGCATCATCCTGGCAAAGAATCTATTTGTTTCAAAGAAGGCGGCAGAGCCAGAGGTTTGAAGGCTGCCAAGAATGAGAAGGGGAAAAAAACACACAGATGGTTGCAAAGGGATCAAAGCCTCATTGTCTCTGTTCTTCCTCTGCTGATTAAAGGTAATTGTTCACATGAAGCTGCAGATATATGCATACATAATTGCTGGTCATAGCCTAATGAGCTAATCTGTGAGAGTACCTTTAAATTCACCAGTCCTTAGAAGGTCATATTGCTTTTCTTGAAAGTATTCCTTTTTCTTAGCTTTTGTTAGTCTTACCACACTACGACCTGTTTGGGATGCAGGGTGTCCCTAATGGGGAACAAAATTTGTCAAGCTGATCATCTCTGTTACTGGTGGTCCTAGACTTACAACCACTTGTTTAGTGACCATTTGAAATTACAATAGCACTAAAATAGTGACTTACGGTTCTTGCACTTGCTACCATCACAGCATTCCCAGGGTCACATGATCAGAATTAAGGCACATGGCAAACTGGCTGAATTTATGACAGTTGTGGTGTCCTGAGATCAGAATAACGGAGTTGGAAGGGATCTTGGAGGACTTCTAGTCCAACCACTGTTCAAGCAGGAGACCCTATACCATTTCAGACAAATGGCTCTTTTTAAAAGCCTTCAGTGTTAGAACACCTACAACTTCTGGAGGCAAGTTGTTTCATTGATTAATTGTTCTAACTGTCAGGAAATTTCTCCTTAGTTCTACTGTAGGTTGGTTCTCTCCTTGATTAGTTTCCATCCACTACTTCTTGTCCAGCCTTCAGGTGCTTTGAAGAATAGCTTGACTCCCTCGTCTTTGTATGGCAACCCCTGAGATATTGGAACACTGCTATCATGTCACCCCTCGTCCTTCTCTTCATTAAACTAGACATATCCAATTCCAGCAACTGTTCTTTATATGTTTTAGCCTTCAGTGCTTTAATCATTTTTGTTGCTCTTCTCTGCACTCTTTCTAGAGTCTCAACATCTTCTTTTGATCATGGCAACTAAAACTGGATGCAGTATCCCAGGTGTGGTCTGACCAAGGCATTGTAAAGTGGTACTAACACTTCATGTGATCTTGATTCCATCCCTCTGTTAACGCAGCCTATGACTGTGTTGGCTTTTTTGGCTCATATTTAAGTGACTGTCCACTAGGACTCCAAGATCCCTCTCACAGTTACTACTATTGAGCCAGGTACCACCTATACTATACCTGTGCATTTGTGGTTGCCACTTGTGACCTTCCAGCTTCTGACAAGCAAAGTCAATGGGGTAAGCTGGATTCATTTAGCAAACACAGGATTCACTTTACAACTTCAGTGATTTACCTAACAACCATTGCAAAAAAAAAGGTTGTAAAATTGCAATTCACTTAATAACTGCCTGGTTTAGCAACAGAAATTCATGTCCCAATTGTGGTCGTAAGTTGAGGTCTGCCTGTATTCCGACTGACACGTTGTAATGTGCAGCTAGGAGGTAGCAAGTATGTCTAGGAGTCAGTATGTCCAACATGAAAAAAACCAGGAGATATATGGCTGTGTGAACATTCTTTAGCAGAAGATATGGAACCTCATTTCTAGTGTTAGCAGAATTGTGAGAACTTGGGACTGCTTGAAAAGTTCTGCTGCTGGATTTCAAGTAGAGATGTGAGAGTCTTAACAAAGTCTCCTCCAGTATAAATTCCCTATGTGTGATAGAATTCAGCATTGTCCTGTGATATGGCTTCCTTATGGTTTAATTAGCTTTCCCTTGATCAAGGAGCCAAGAAATTTTCTAAGGTTTTCTTTCAATCCCTAGAACAGGGGTGTCAAACTCGCAACGTCACGTGATGTGTCGCGACGTATCACGACTTTTTTGCCATTGCCGGCAATGGGGAGGGTGCGGTTTTGCTATGATGCATCCGGCCCGTGGGCCAGCAGTTTGACACCCCTGCCCTAGAATCACTCTGTATCCAACAGTTTATATTCTGTACTGCCCTATGTCTGTCCCTCAAGAATTTAAGCTCTTTTGATTTCTTCAAGATTATTTTATTTATTCTTATTATCAAATTTAGATACCTCCCATGCCCCATCTCACTATCCAAATTACTCTGGGCAGTTTACAAATAGAAACCATATAAAAGAAATATAATTAAAAATAAAGTGAAAACAGAGAGAAAAATAAAATAAGACGAAAGCTAAAAAGACAAGTTAAAAAAGGCAGAGAGAGAGGAAGCTGAATAAGTGGGGGCCAACCTCACCTCTGGGGGCAAGATATTCCATGGGGGGGACAACAGCAGAGAAGGCTCTTTTCCTAGACCCCGCCAATCAAAATTCTTTAGAGTTTTAAAAAGGATGTATTCAATTCTTTAGAGTTTTAAAAAGGATGTATTCAATAAGAAAAAAATATTCTGTGAGGGTAATTTGGAGGGAGTGACTTAAATTTAATAATGAACTTTAAAATATGCACGTTAAGAGGCAATTTAAAAAAAAGATGTATTAGAAAGTGTTGATTTCAGAAATGTTTTTAAAGAAAAGTTTAGTGTTTTAAAATGGATTATTAAGTGCAAATAATAAATATTTCCACAGCAAGGAAGATAAAGCAGAAATGGTTATATTGATTGTTTTATTCAAAGAGAAGAATATATTTAATTATGTTTTTTATTTGGATATCACTTCTGGATTTTGTGCTTGTGATGAAAAAAATGAAACTTTGACTTTGGTTTTGCTGATTAGATAGATTCATTATTATAGAAATGGCTAGTTATATATTAATGTGTAAATGTTAAAAGTTGAGGCTAGAATGTTATCTTGTACTGTGCTAAAAAGAGTCAGAAGTCAACGCTTTTTTTTTTCTTTCCTTGTACACTGACATTCCCTAAATTCTGCTGAAGATGTTACCTAGTCTGGTAACGAAATGTTCAGAAACCAATCCACAAACTCAGAGAATGAATCTCCGCCTTCATCCTGCATCCAAGCTACAGATATTCACCACTATCACAATTATAATTTCTGTTTTAGCTCCATACACAACTGCAATGACCATCCCTAAACTTTATCCATATAACTTTCCTAAATCTGCCCTGCAATTTCCATTGCATCTTTTCCCAATCTTTATTTGGCCAATATTAATTTGTTTGCCTCCATTCATAACTTTGCATTAAGAATATTATTGGTAAGGTACCAACCCATGCGCTATAATAGTAAGCTATCTGCTGATCTCTTTTATAACGTGTGTGCTAAAAAGAAAATACGTATGTGTGTGCTAAAAAGAAAATACGTATTTTTAAACTTGTACATTTTCCTTCCAGTTCCATTGTTTCAAGTTTATTAAAACTTAGTGAATAAATCTCTGGGAAAGTTCCCATTTATTACAGTATATCTATCTTGACATGCATGCATGTAGCAGTTTGAATAGATAGATATATAGATATAGATATAGATATAGATATAGATATAGATATAGATATAGATGATATAGATGATATAGATGATATAGATGATATAGATGATATAGATCAGTGGTTCTCAACCTTTTTAATGCCGCGACCCCAACCGGTTGTAAGTCGAGAACTAAACCGGTCGTAAGTCGAGGACTAAACAGGTCGTAAGTCGAGGACTACCCAACCGGTCGTAAGTCAAGGACTTTCCCTGCCCGGGAGCGCCGCGCATGCGCGGTTCCGCCCCCTGCGCCGCCAAGGTGTAGCTGGGAAGCAGCAGAGACGGAGCAGGCTGACCACCAGCTGGCCCAGCCCAAGGGAGGTAAGGCACCCGCCGGAAAAGGGGAAAAAAATGGCGGACAAAAAAATGGCGGACAGCCTTGCTTGGCGACCCCCATGAAATGGTCGATCGACCCCAAATGGGGTCCTGACCCACAGGTTGAGAACCACTGATATAGATATAGACAGTGCTTTTTTTCTAAAAAAAAAAAAAAAGGTACCGGAACTCACACACTTCATACAACCCGCCTTCCCTACCCTATAAGGTTCCATCCAAAAAAGGTGCCGGAATTCCGTTCTGGGTGTTCTATGAGAAAAAAAGCCCTGGATATAGATATAGATAGAGAGATAATATTATTCACACAATCAGGTCTAATAATTGTTTTCCCTTCCCCTCCCTTCCTTGATGACAATAGAGAAAGAAAAACGGGGGAGGGCATACTAAAGATGAGTTCAAAATCCATTCAAAAATAAAAGAAGTGCAGAGTTTAGTTTTTACTGTTATGTAATTTTATTTCGCCTAAAGCATTAGTAGATAAATCTTCAAACTCCCTCTGGGATGTTGTGCCCTAATCAAATAAGAAGCTAAATCAAAATTTGATCTCAAGGGGGAAATAAGTGGTTTTTGACTTTCTTCTTGAGACTTCACGGCATCCTTGTAAAAAAGAGCTATGTGCTGTCACAGATGAGTCTATAGATGGTTTATTATTACCCAGATCCTCAGCTTCCTTGCTGCAGTATATATATGTGTTGTTATTCCTGTGTCTTCTTCAGTGTACTTCTAAGCCACAAGTCATAGGTTCCACTAGTCAGTATGAATCACTTTGCAGCTAAAATTGATGTGTTTGTATTATTTATCTGCTCAACTGTCCTCCATGATTAATAGCATGCAGGCGTGTATAGAAGGCTCCAAATGTTGTATTATTATATGGCTGTCATATTTCACACAGATGGATCTTCCCGATGATGAGCCTGATCGATTAAGCAACCGAACGTTGCAGTATAACCCAAGCCAAGACAAATGGGTGGAGTGTGCGCCGATGAAGTATTCGAAATACCGCTTCAGCACAGCTGTAGTCAACCATGAGATTTATGTGCTGGGTAAGAGCAAACAGATTTTTAAGAGATAGAGGGGCCACTTTTTATTTTTTCCTAGCAATTTGATTCTACGAAATGAAAGATTTCATTCTCCTACCACTCTCTTTCTTGTTAAGTTAGAGAAAGAAAATAGTATAAAATAACCGGCAAGGAACAATTATCTCCATTTTATGCACTTACTATATTAATTTTTTTCCTTGATTCATTTCCTGCATCACTTTGGAAACCGCATTCTTCCTTACCAATCAGAGGACGTTATTTGGTTCTGCTATTTTTTATTTTAACAAAACAACAATGTAGCCAGTGCAGTCTCTGTTTTTGATGAGTATGCTGATTGGAAATTTCTGGGAATTGTAGAACTACCTGGAAGGTGAAGGTGCCATGTTGGAAATAGTCTGCAATAGTACATTATAAATCTCTCTGCAGATAAAATTGTTATGACTAAATGGGATGTCAGCATAGGTATGTCATTCCAGGTCAATTTACACACGTAAAAATATTAGGTAAAATATTGATCTATAGCTTAGCCACCACAGGAATCCAGTACAAAGTGTAAATATAGAAACATAGAAGAAATGTGCTTTGCAACATCCCAGCGTGAATCCATGCCTTTGATATTTATGTCCCAAATTGAACACAAGTGTATGAGTTAGATGGTTTATATTATAACAACATAACATGTTTTGTCATTTTTTTCCAGTCTCTATGGCAGGAAAATACTGCAGAAATTTATTTTTATCTTCATATGTTGGCAGGATGGCCGCAAGAAAATTAATTAACTTTATTAATGTATGAGGAATCATTAAATTATCTCTCTGCTCTCTGTGGCATTTTCAGCATCTTAGTTTTAATGCTTCAGACTTTCCAATTCAGTATGATTACCCTAATGGTCTTATGAGAATGAAGCTGAGGCTACTCGAGTACATGAAAACATTATTATCTAGGACCTCTGTTGTATATTTGCTCAGATTTTCTATTTTGATCATTGTCCCTCCTGAATCTTTCTGAAGCTAGCAAACAACTTCCCTCACACAAAAGTTCCTACAGTTTGTCCTCCTTAAAGGTACAGGAGAAGGCTTCAGAAATAATCTCTGCATATAAAAAAGCAACGGAGGAGGGTAAATAGGGGAAGGGAAAATACTGTAATTGACAGCTCTGCTCAATGAATTATTATTTAATCCATTGATCAGTCATGAACTCAGAATGACAGTAAAGGCCTATGCCAGAGCTTTCAATTGGACAGATATATGGAATTTGACATAAATTAACTACTGTATTTGAGGTATTTTTCTATTTGCTTGGATTCCAGTAAGAAAAAGGTTTTTTTATATATTTGGGAAAACATTCAAGATGTGTTGTGGTGAGGAGTAAAAAAGGGGGGTAGGACTTGAGGTGGTCACAGCCACCATGCTTACATTTTTTTTACAAACACATACATAATACACACCATGGACACCCCTGGGGTGTTCTAGCAAAAGGGAAAAAGAATGGGTTTTCTATCATTTTCTATGATTTGGAGTTGAGGGATATAGACTAAAGGAATTTAACTGTGGAGGGTAAACACCGGCTATTGGTGGCTTTTTAATTCTAAACTAAATTATCAAGAGAGCTAGGAGACAGTTTATGACCCAAAAAGAGAAATGCAGGGAATTGGAAGAGAATCTGTTTTCCAAGTCCTTATTTTTCATGTTGATGTATGTGTTTGTGTACATACAAGTGAAGATTTATTAAATGTGTTCAACCTAGGACCTAGGAAGAGATATTTCAGCCTATTTCTGACAAGAGAAGAATAGTAGGTTTCCAGGCCAAAAAATCTAGAATTTCTATCTTGAAGAAAGGCCTGGGATAACAACAATAACTGCAGAATAAAGCCTGCTTAACCTAATCTAACATACAAGAGTAAGAACTCTGAAGAGAAAGGAAAATATATTTAATGAATAACTTCAATAGGCCCTGCACAGTTGAAAGCTAGTTGGAAGAACTCCAACAGAGGTCTGGTAGTACCATTTTGGTCCTCATTAAAGCAGCTTAACTTTTTTCAGGCTTTTAGCAAAAATGCCTTTTGGGGGGGGAAATGAGCCATTTGTAGAATCTTAAAGCAGGAACCCCTTTTTCCCCAAACTTACACAGAAGTCTGAAAGAAATCAGATTGCTTTAAGGAAGAACATAGAGGTGTCGCATTCACAGCACCTCTAATGCAGTTCTTTTTAACCATTTTCAAAGGGTGCATAGCCCTAATTTACACTATCCTTACTTCACTTCAAGTTCTATATACACTCTTCCTCCTATCTTTTCATCTGCTTTACTTTTGGACTCATCTCCCTTTATGAAGAGATGATAGTGTACTCAGTACCCTTACCTGTCAGTACCTTTCATCTATTTTTGTCTCTATTTAAGGCGTAAGCATAGGGGAAGCCCTCAAATAATATCCCATAGAACTGAGAATAAACCATTAAGTTCATTGCCCAGAAAACACTTCAA